CTTGTCTAAACACTGAATGTGGAACCACATTTCACCCGTTGGTCTTGCGATCTTGACAGCACTAAACTCGTCTTTTCCAACCGACGTTTGTAAATTCTTGAAGTATCGGGCGAAGAAAGAGAAGCCGCTCAATCATTTGGTGGGTACTGTTCCAACGCGTTGCCACGTCCGCGATAACAGTAAGTGGCAGAGGAACCTTTTGAAGTTCTTTTAGCTTGGCTTTTCCTTTTGCGCTCTTGTTGAAAAAGGTAACAATCTTGCGGAAGCTAGCAACATGCTTTCGTGTTTCACTCATCGCCTTCTTCATTGCGTCCATCAGCCCGACTGCTGCACTTGCACTTAGACACCCATCTAGAAGACCTTCATCCATGCAATCGTCGGTTTCTAGATCCACTGACTCAGCAACAGACTCAACAGAAGAAGTAACTTCCAGCGATATAAGACCCAATTCGTCTTCTAACTCACCAATAGCTTCCAGCTCAGCCTCCGGATCTTCCACCCATTGTTCATCAGTTTCATCGGGCTCTGCTAGAACACCAAAACTCATCTGCTCGTCTGTTTGAGCTGCCTCAACTTCTTCCCACGATTTTGAGAGAGCTCCAGACACAACAAGGTGCAGAGAGTGAGCCACACAACCGAAATGATCAACTTCCAAGTCATTACATGCCTTTACAATATTTGCGCCATTGTCACGTATAATTTTTGTCAGACGTAAACTATCAAGACCCCACTTTTCCATCAGGCTGCGAATTAAGCTCGCAATTCGCGTACCAGAATGTTTTCCAGGAAAACTGACAACCTCTAGAGTGAAAGACATCAATTTAAAAGCTGTAGTCACAAAATGAATAGTTAGCGCAAGGAAACTTTCAGTTGTACGTGATGTCCAGATATCGGTAGTGAGACTATAGAATAAGGCGCATTCTATAATTTCATCTTTCACCTCCGTTCTTCTCTGCGCGGCATGCGTTTGTAGACGTTCTGTGATCGTGCGGCGAGACGGTAACTCGTAAATACCATTTATGGTCTGGATGAAGGTCGTAAAAACCTAAGTTCTTTGTCTTCCGTAATTCCCAACGGCCGCAAGCACTTATTTATCCAGTCAGTTAGCAGTCTTGTAGCCATAGCTTCCTCCGCCGAATTAACTTTCTTGGACTTTTTGGTTGGTGAAAGGAACACAGTACTAGACATTCTTTTAGACGCTATCGCGTCTTTCACCAGTTTGGAAGCATCCTTTCGCTTCATGTTGCCTTGTAATTCAGCTAGAACTTTAGGATGCTGTTGGCCAAGATGCTGACGGATGGCAGCACTGCTTCCCGATTTGTACTTGAAAGTTGCCTTACACTTTGTGCAGTATGCCATATCTGCATCTGATGATTCCCACTTCGACTTCCCCGCTGGTAGATGCGCGCTGGGGGCAACTAGCATGACGAAGGACCAGTAGCCTTGTTTGTGCTGGCGCGGCATTTTAAATAAAGGCAGATCCGGGTGCTGGGGCGTTGCATCCTCCATAGAAACACTTTTTATAGAGCTCCAAGAAATGTATTGTAGCGATCCAAACCAGAAAGTAACTTCTATCTACAGTAAAAGATAAATTTCCAGTGTAACTTCCACTTAACAGTGAATAGATCCAGAAACGTAGCTTCACTCAATCCAGTTCAAGTAGTCGTCAAACAAAACCAAATTCTCCACACCCCTCCCCAGCTGACACCAGTGACAGAATAGTTCCACCCGTCGATCACCACAAAGAACAAAATAGCTGGAGTAGAATGCCCTTCGACAGTCAAGTAGCTAGTTGATCCTCGCGAACACTCCGCTCTTGTCCTATTCTGTTGTGGGGGAATATGTGGCTCACATAATACAGATGTTCCAAAGTTAACGTCCTTAACGTAAACTTAACGTAAAGATGGGATCAAATTTTATTTTACGGGAACTTCCCGTCCCTTAACGTCCCCATCCCTAGTCGGAAATGCCCGGTAAGGGCGGATGTGTTTGATGAAAGTCGGAAAAGCTTAAATTCTCATTCAAATCTCCACTACATCCTCACAGAATATTGCATTATAACTGTCGGCCAAGATGGCTACGCATTTTCAATAGGATCTCGGCAATCTGGACGGAAGCAAATTCCAGTTCGAATACGCCCCAAAGAGCCGACACGTATAATACGTGGAATTAGACCCCAGGCGTGATATTTTGTTCAATGTCTTAATCAGAAGAGACCGGTTTGGCTCACATTAAAGGGAAAGATTGGCAGCATTTGTTTTTTTGAAAATTATGAAACCATAGCAGTTTGTTATGTTTGATTTTGCATTTAGAGCAGCTTTTGACTTGACGAAGATCATGTATACGATTCCTTGAGGAGATACATACCCTTCCGATAGCAATTAGATGCGTACCCTCTCATTGTTGGCGATTACTTATCTGCTTGGGGGTCTGAGCCCCCCTTAACGTCTATTCACTTACTTCGTGAGATAAACGACGCGCTGTAGGACACCACGTTTAAGTTGGCAGAAGGAAATAGCAGGCCATCAAAGTGACATTAATAAGCAGCAAAATTGACAAAGTGTGAAGACGCCCAGGATGTATTACCGAGGACTTTGAGGCAATATTTGTGAAGGACGACGAATTCGAGAATGGTACATAAGATGGCAAGATACCGGTTAGTACAGACTAACTCGGCGGGGCAATAGTACTGAATATTTAACTCTGCATGGGGCGACACAACATTGCAATGGAGCGTCTAGAGGGTAACTTTGGTACAATGCCTCTCTTTGATCATGATCCCAGTTCGTCATTGTTCCAATTATCATCGTGCTGTATTCACATTAGCCGAAAAGAATGTTAGTTGTAGTTCTCACCTTCACTGAAATCATGAGCATATAGCTGGGGTGAACAGAACCCATAGTCAAGCAGCTTTCTATATTGTATACAATATTACAAAAGAAAAGATGGAAACGTTCTTTACTTCGCTTTCCGTAACCATATTCCGACCTTTGACAAACTTGATCAAATTTGATCAATTCGTTGATTTTTTGGTAGATCCCGATGGGAAATAGATTCTTCCGTTTCTTTGTCTTTCACGTATATCATACTTCTGACTCCGCCGCTATGATGTATAATTTGGAATGTGCAATCTGGTACATCATAGCGGCGGAGTAAGACGAACCAGATTGTTTGTAACAATGTTAAATTGGACGAATGAACGTTTGTACTGGATAGACACCCCACAGAGAACCCTATAGTGTGCAGTCAAACTTTGTTCTTTGAAAGATTTGAGGCCTCAATCATGAAAGTGCCACCACATCATAACCATTATATCTGAGTTCAATTTCTGTACGAAGAAATATGAAACTTGTTGTATGTGTAACAGATATATAGCTGCAATATCGTTCATCAACAGTATTGAGCGGTGCCAACTCAACAGGATTAATCGCTTAATCGATGATGGGCGAGTAGAGCATAATGTAATCGTGACAGTCATAAAGCTGTTGCGCATCAAAGCGTTTTGGAGTTCTCCAAACATTACGGACCGATGCGGACCGAGTGGAATGGTGAAAACAACACCGAAATTTTCGATAGGCGACGTTTACAGCCACAAGTTTGAGCTCTACCGCTTCTTCCGCGCACAATGTTTCCAGAAGCTCCAAGCCCCCACTTCTCAACATTTTTTAAGCCTGACGAGAAAGAGTAGCAACAACAAGGACGAGCACAGAGAGATTTGCAGCAAATTTGGTCGTGCAAACCGCAAAGTGGGCTGGTGAGTCGTTTTCAGATATTGCAAAATATATCATTTTAGTTGGTTATTTGTTTGTACTGAGTGCTTCTATCTTAATTTCAGTATTTTTTGGAAAGGATGCTTTTATCTTGGTTTCATTAGAACTGGTTTGCACTTAGCATTGGGCAATCCGTTTTAAGGCCTGCTCTGTTTATGTCGTGCGGTGCATGTTCAGCACTAAATTTGATATCGCACATCATCTGGATGCTCAATTTGCTGTTTGATCTCATTACTTAAATTTGTGAGTCTAGCAAGATCAACTTGAAATGGGTCTTAAAAGCAGAGAGATATTTTCATCGAAAACCATTCATTCTGCGTCGACTTTAATAGTGTATACTTAGCACTGAACCAAAGCGCGGCCAAGTTTACATTAAATGAAGTTGTACCTAGAATATTTGACTTTAATGAAATAGCCACAAGTTTTCGAAGAAGACTTTGTCAGATGTTAGCAAAAGTTAGTGCTGTTAAATACTCACAAAGCGATATAATAGTACATCAAACTCGGATTTACAATGAAACATTAACCACGCATTTTTTGCCTCTCGTTGTGCTTCGTCTCCTGCACGCGGATAACTTCGGGCAGCACGTCCGCGGCTTCAACGAAAGTGCATCCCAAGCCTTCGGCAACCGAGCACCGTGCACCGCGCCCGCCACGAGAGACTTATCTCGTCGACGATTTGGAGGAAGTCGACAAAGGAGCCAGGTACTCCTTTCCGAGGATGGGAAGAAGTGAAAAATGAGGTGCGCCAACGGCGCGACGTGAGCCCTGCTCGAACCTTGCGGACACCGTGTCCGTTTCCCGGCTTCTCGACTTTCGAGGGGAGTGGCATCATTACCAATCGCCTCGACGAGGCACAGGAGCAGCCGTTAGGGGCTGCCCACAGGGCGGCTATGCGCGCATCCACGGTCAGTCCGGCTAGCGCTCGGCGGATCTCGCTACTGAAGCAAGGAACGCAATCAACTGATCGTTGGGAGTCTACGTGGTCGGTCCCCGCCTACTAAACAAGCTGAGCTTGACAAGCAAAAAGCTCTCCTACTTATTTCCTCAACAAATTCCAATAAAAGGTACTCCACGCTCAAAGAGGAGACACCCATGTACCCGCGATGCGGACGATTCCTGTCTTGCTCGCCCTGGCAAAACTGCTTCAGATGGCGATGAGATCTTTGCGCGATGGGTGCAGAGCCACCGGAAACTCTCCTCGCTGTCTAACTTACAGCCGAGCCACCGGAAACTTTCCTCGTTGTCTAACTTACAGTAGGTGGACGTGCGCGTGGAGCGCCATCTTAGGTTCGCGTTTGCTCAACTCAATGCGCAACGTTGGCTTCCTTCGTATTGTCACCCTGCGACGTATAGATTTATCCATCACGTTCGTGGTCTCTCACACGGGTAAGTCTACGACCACAGTAGCTCATGCACATAGCTTGAGCCCATATCATGGCCCTTCGGCTTCCCTGGCTATTTCCGAGAAGCGCGAGAGGCGTACGATGACGAGGAACATTTCTCTATCCATAAGCTCAATGACGTTTGGGAAGTCTTGCGGAAGTGGCACCTCATATTCCCACTAATTCTTGGAGTTTGGGTAACCCGCCACTTCACAAGATATTGGGTTCGACCCTGTCGACGACATCAACCCACAATGCACTCCACGTGGTAGTGGACGCCACCATTCTTATCGACAAGTGTCGGCGGCGGACGACGACGATTTGGTCGATCGCGGTCGGTGACTCGCGATGCTCTTCGAGCTCAGGAGGACAAAGTCAATCGTCATCGGCACTCTGCCGAGCATTTTGCCGTGGTCGCGTCCCGTTGTGCAGAAGACCGGGAGAGCTTGGAGCACTTTTGCACCCACTGCCTCACGTTGCGGACTATCGTGCTCTGGCGAAGCGGTTCCTAGCCGTCGAGCAGAAAAATGCGTCACTAATTGCTACGGTGGAGCACCTGGTGCCATTGGAGATGAAGATCGTTGCACTACGTGCTCAAACCCAGATGCTCATCAGCTTCTGGGTGGTCAAGCGCCTGTGGACGCTGATCCAGCACCAACGCTTCCACAATCACTTGCTTTGGATCCCGGTAAGGCTTGAGCAAGCCCACATAAACCACTGGGTGGGCGTGCATCTGTTTTGGAAAGTGTACCGTATACGCAAAGCCACGACCCTAGAAGGACCGATAAATCGTGAACGGAGCTTTGTCTTAACGACAGTAGAAATTGCATATGTAGAAGTTTTGAGCAATTAATAAAACCAGGTCTCCGACCTCAAAGTTTTCAGCATTTCTTCTGCTGCTTCATTCTGCATACTCCTTCTGCATGTCTTGGCTTTCAGCAATCGCATCGTGAACGTGTCGCAAGACGCTCAGTCTGTTAGACCGGAAATCATCAAAATCTTTGCAAACAGCGAGGGGGCCGGCATCAGCTAGTCGCTCGGCTTTTCTTCCCCACCAAGTCCTGCGCCATGAGATGGCGGCGACAGCGGAACGCTAGGGTGAACGAGCCCGTTTATGTAGAAAGGCGCGTCTAGCCGGTACACGAATGCACTGCATTGTTCAGAGTGAGCTCTACGAGTAGCAGCATGGCGCTCCGACTCATCGGAGCCTCAGCGCAGACGCTACGAGAGACGTACTCAACGACGCGATTCTCGCACTCAGCCTGACCATCGAACTGCGGATGGTCCGCTATTGACATAGTCAACTTGGGTCCCAGCACCCTGAACATTGTAAGAAATTCTCAGTGAAGCGTGCGTCTCTATCAGAGCAATTGGCCCCGGGAGTCCATGTTGTCGAAAGACACGATCGACAAACAGTGTCGCTGTACCTAAACCGTCGATGGTGTTCGGCACTACTGCAAGATGAGCCGTCTTGCTCAAACGGTCCACAAAGACCACTACACCCGAGTTGCCCGCCGAGTCATTCGGCAGGCCAAACACGAAGTCCATAATACCGGAATGGTACCGGTCTTGCTCCAGGAGTCCGGAGCAACGCTACGCGTATATGATCACCCGCGTATGCGGCGTGGATCAATCCCGTCACTGACGTCATCAGAAAGCTCAATATCCGGTTTGCATAACAACGCATCAGTCAAAGCATTCTGCTTTTCTGGCTTATTGTTCACCTTGAATTTAAATTCGGCGAAGAAGGAGAGCCATCTGACCATCCTCTACGATTGGTGAGGTGACTGAGTCGCAGTGCGTAGTGACGCATGATCTGTGTAGATCACAAACGGCTTGGAGCCGTGCAGGTGGACCCTAAACTTGACAATTGCATACTTCATCGCAAGTAATTTCTTGTCGTGGACTTGGTAGATCTGCTCTGAGTCTTGAGCTGGCGAGATTCGAACGTGATCACCCGATCTCGTCCCTCGGTGTCTGCTTGCAGCAGTGCACAGCCGATGGCAAAGTCCAAAGCGTCACAGACGACACCGAAAAGACGATCGCGGCCTGGCAACGCTACTATTGGTGCATGAAGGAGGCTGTCTTTGACCCCGTCAGAATCCTCCCGATAGTGGGTGTCCCAACACCATTCCGCATCCTTCTTAAAAACATTCTGCCATTCCCGCACACTTTGCGCTATACTTGTGCAAGTAGTTGGCGAGGCCAGGCCACTTGCGCAGACTTTTTTGCTCTTCTGAATCGACCAGTCTACAATGGCTTTGAACTTAGCGGAAACTGCTCGAAGACCACGCTTCCCAATGAAGCCCCCTAAAAGGGTTTTTCTTCTGCTTTAAAGATGCACGTATCGGCATGAGCACACAGCTTATTCGTGCGCATGCACTCGAGCACCGCTTTTTCATGAACGATGTGGGTTTCCCCATCTCTTCTCCAGTGCCCCGCGCGAATGTGGACAAAAATGTCGTCGAAGTATGTCTGTCAATTCCCAATGGGGCCTAAACGATCGCGTCACAAGGCGATTAAATGTTACTGGTACATCGACAGCCCTTGGGGTATCACCAGCCACTACCAGAGCATCCCGCTCGGTGTACTCACCGCTGTCAGCGGAATATCACTCGTCCTCATAGCAATGGGTAATACCCATCGACTACGTCGAGTGCGCTATACTTTGTACATCTAACTATTATGTTCTGGAGAACATCCTTTCCAGGATTCGGCTTCTGTGCCGGAATGGTGGCAGCGATGAGCTTATTGTAAGCGTGAACGATACGTCACTTGCCGTTCGGTTTCCGGACACAAAACTTGGGTGTCGAATGGGCAGACTTGCTTTCACGCACCATTCCTGCCTCGTGCTTCGCACGGAAAAAGTCGTCAATGACGTCTCACTGCTCCTTGGGCAGGGGCCATTGGCGTGTTACGAAGCATTTGGTTCCCGGAACCAGGTCGATCTCATGATGCATACCTCTATCAGGAGATAGGACCGACGTGGGACTTTGGAGACGACGTCTTGAAATTTCTTTACCAAAGGATACTACGGATCCGAGGGATTCTCCAGGATCGAAGATCCACTTTATGTATTCAGCACCTTCTTGGTGTCTTCCAAGACAGATTTAACCAATAGCGACAACGAGTTGATCTCCTCATCCGGTCATATAATGAACAATTCGGCAAGCCGTCTGCCTCCAAGGCACCGCCAAACTCTTCAAAGGACATCTCGTCCAGCTCAAGAAGAGCATCCACCGCGGAATAGTCTCGAGGCTGAGGAGCCGCCACCCTCCCGTCATACCGATGACGAGGGTCTATTGCTGTGCGCTATCGTCTACGGTAGATACATCTTGAGTAGGGAAGGACGCCCGGAGTCTTGTAGCGGACATATGTCGTCGCTGTCGCCTCCTCGCAGAGGGTATACGTCTCTGCGAAACTAGTGTGGACACGCAGATAGCGTCGTCTAGTGTTCCCATTTCCTGACCCATTGAAGCTCTGATGTTGTTAAACACATATGCTATTCCCGCAGTCTCCGTCCAGTGGATTTCGTGCCACTCCACGCGCATCGAAAGGACCTTGCCAAGATGCATCAGACCTCGTCCGACCATATCACTCTCTGCATGCAGCAACTGCTTCAAAACGTGAGCAGTGCTCAGTGTGTTACGTACCAGTCCACGCGCATCACTAGGGCCTCGCCCTCGATGCCTCGGACCTCGTCCAACCATACCACCTTGGCATGCAGCAACTGCTTTTTTACATGAGCAGTACTCAGTGGGCTACGCGCCACTCCACGCGCATCACAAGGGCCTCAACCTCGATGCCTCGGACCTTGTTCGACCCTGCCACTCTTCAACTGCTTCGTAACGTGAGCAGTACTCAGTGGGTTACGTGCCACTCCACGCGCATCACTAGGGCTGAGAAGTCGATGCCTCGGACCTCGTACGACCATGCCACTTTCAACTGCCTCGTAACGCGAGAACTGCCCACTGGGTTACGTGCCACTCCACGTTCAGCCCGCGAGCCATGCCCGAGACCCTCGTCAGATACACCTGCGGTGTTCGTCAACTCGGATATTCCGATATCCAGCATCCGGTCCAGTGCCCGCGCCAATAACACTTTTTCTTCCTAGCAGAGGTTGGGTCATGACTCACCAATGCTCCGCCAGGCGACGTGCGCGTTGCGCCCAAGGTTTTCGACCTCCAGTCAATCCATGGCTCATGGTGTTCCAACCATGCCATACCAAGGAAAAGGTCATACCTTGAATCCAAGTCTAAGACTAAGCAGCGCTCCACGCTATCAAAGTCACGAACCTTGACATACGAGTTCCACACGGACCCTCTGCACAGAAAAACAAGCCCCCGTCGCTAAGCGAACAGTGGCAATGTCACTCAACCGCGCTTTCAGCGCCTCAGCATACAGCTAACTTCCTTTCATCGTGGACTGTCGACCATAATTGCCCGACACCCCGAAAAGGATAAGGATCTTCCATGGCTTCTCAAAGCCCTTCACCT